CATCGATGACACACTGAATAGCAGTTTCACAGCTATGTTTTGCCCTAAAACCTGGTTGACCACTGTTAATCAAATTGTTCCTTCTATAAAATCAATTAGTTGATTATACACTACTTTCTCTAAGATTTTTTCATTTGAAGATAAAAAGGTTACTGGTTTTAAATCAGAAGCTTTCTTAAAGTTGGTAATTTTTGGAATTGGTAATAATGTTGAAATTTTTAAATCATCTGGAAATACATTAGTTTCTATTGACAAATATATCAAATTTAATAGAGACATAGAAATATGAATGTAACATTTTTTTTAAAAAGTTATCATTTATATCAATTGAACTTCCCTTGTTAGGCATTGAAAGAACAATTTTTTCCAGCTCATCGTATGTGATTATCTTAAATTTTCTTAAAAAAATATTTTAATTTCAAATTATTACAAGTTGATTTGAAGTATGATTTATACCGTTATAAATGTCACTTATACTTAAGAGAAATAATAAAATATATATTTATAAATAATAAAATATATGTTTTGTTCAAAATCTTTTTTTGTGTCATTATTTCAGGCTGGAGGCGAAATGTGTAGGGGCGAAACATATTTGGGCCAAATGTGAAGGGGCGGGGCCGCCGAGAGCCATGGTGGGGCCCCTGGGCAAAACTCTGGCAAGCACCCTCCCCCACATATTGTAATCTATTTTTTTAAGCTGCCGGGCCGCCCTGGAGCCAAAGCCCCGGAGATTTTGTCCCCCTGCCCCTCCCTCTCGTCGGGCCTGTGCAGGGGCTAAATGTGGGGTGTGAATATTCCGCAAATCTAGCACATGCCGTAATAAAATATTGCACCTTACCAGATTCTCTAAGGCAGACATCAGACTAAAAGGATTTTAGAAAGGTTACAAATCAGGTTATAATATGTGTATTCTTAGTAGATTGTAAATATAAATTTTTTAAAATAAAGGAATATTATTATTATGATTATTATTATAATACTCTTCACACAGTAGTCTGTGAAGAGTATTATAGGTTTACTTTCAAGAAACCAAAATATTTAATATTGGTCTAAATTTAAAAATTTATATACCAAAATCCTCCTTAACAAATTCTAAACAACTTTTAAAAATGTTCATCTGTCTGATGTCATGTTTTTTTATCAGCACGATAAGTTAAAAACGAAATTAACTTGAAAATTTCAGGAAATATAAGGCTCTATAAGAGGACGAAGCCTATTGATTTTGAAAAAAAAAAAAAAAAATTGATTGAAAATTGGGGAGTTAAGTGGGGGTTGAATTATTAAAAAAATGTTAACTGAAAAACGAAAAATGATATTAATCAACTTGAAATTTTTAGCAAAAATCAAGCTCTCTATGGGGAAAAAGCACTTTGATTTTGAAAAATCTGATTTAAAAAATGTGTCGTTTAGAGGGATTGAAATTAAAAAATCATAAATCAAAAAGCGATATCAATATAAATTTTTCGTAAAAATCAAACTCTAAGCATAAGGAGATGAAGCCTTATTGATTATGAAAAAATCTGAATAAAAATGGAGGATTAACGGGGGTTGAAATATTAAAAAAAAATTAATTTTATATCTTCACAGGAAAAATCAATCTTTGTAAGGGGATGAGCCCTATCGATTCTGAAAAAATCTGATTGTTAATGGGGGTTACGATGGGGGGTCTGTTAAACTGTGAAGAGTATAATATACAGGGTGTTTCAAAAAGATTGGTCATAAATTATACCACGTATTCTTGAGTCAAAAATAGGTCGATTAAACCGTACTTACCTATATACAAAAGTGCACACAAAAATAGTATAAGATGAAAATTTAAATGAATTTTTTTAACATTGCTCTTAAACCTTTTGACATTTTTTCATGAAATTTTATATGACGTGCTGGAATACCATGACTAACAAAATCGAGGTAGAGGCAATATATTTTTTTTTATTTTTGTTGGATTTTGGAGGGTGTCACCGCCCCTTTCTCTACTCAACTTTTTTGTAATATAAAATTTTATTAAAACTCGAAAGCTACTGAAATGCAACATCTATTTGGAAACTTTTTTGTCTCGTAGTATTTGTTTGTAAAATGTTTGGTTTAGACGATACAGCCACTTAAAATGACATCTTAAAAATATTCAATGTAAATTATACGTATGCAAAAATATCAAAATTCGATTTTCATTGTTAAAACTATGTAGTAAGTGTATACAGGAGGAGAATGTAATTTTGAACACCTGTTAAATTATTTTTTTTTTATTTTGATGACATTATTTTGTAATTTAAAAATAAACTTGATTTTGATATTTTTCATAAGTAGAATTTTCATTGAATATTTTTAAGTTGTCATTTCAAATGGCTGTATCGTCTAAACTAAACTTTTTACAAACAAATACTAGGTGACAAAAAAGTTTCCAAATGGATGTTGCATTCCAGTGGCGTTTTATTTGTAATTAAATTTTATACTACAAAAAAGTTGAGTGGAGAAAAGAGCGGTGACCCCCTCCAAAAACCTATAAAAATCAAGAAAAAAATATTGTCTCTTCTTCGGTATTATTAGTTATGGTATTCTAACACGTCATATAAAATTTTATGAAAAAATGCAAAACGCTTTAAGAGCAACGTTAAAAAAATTCATTTAAATTTTTATCTTATACTATTTTTGGGTGCACTTTTGTATATAGGTAAGTACGGTTTAATCGACCTATTTTTGACCCAAGAATATGTGGTATAATTTATGACCAATCTTTTTGAAACACCCTGTAAAATGCCAAGCATTATACAGTATGGTTCAAATGAAAGGAATAAATTCATTATAATGGAAGTAGATAGTTTTTCGAAAAAATGCTCGGACAGGTCAATTTTGTTTACTCAAAGCGCAATTTTTTAAATAGAATTCAGTTTTCCCCCACTTCCCATTTTTGGACAGTGACGTCATTGACAATTTTTTTAAATAGTAGCCCCAATTTTTTTTTCTTGATTTAGTTAGATCTTGCAATTTCCTACTCGGAAACATATTTGAAACATCTTACATAACAATTTTTTTTGAATAAAAGTCATTTAAAGATCAGACACATAAATTTTATTTTATTTTGAGAACACAATAAATGAATAAAAGATAATTATTTGTAATTAAGTGCTTAATCAAACAAAATAATAATAATAATAATAATAATAATAATAATAATAAAAAAGAATTTGTGAAATTGTCATTAAATTCTTTTTATTATTATTATTTTTTAGATGAAGCACTTAATTACAAATAATCTTTTATTTATTTATTGTGTTTCAAAATAAAATTAAATTTATGTATCTGATCTTTAAGGTAGTTCACTCGCGACAGTCGTACATAAAAATGGTGAATACCAAGAGTTCGAGATTCTCAATGCTAATCAATTTTATTTTTGTAAGAGACTGTACAAAACACATGTAAGCTTATATATGGCAACCTCATAAATACATGAATGGTTTGCTATAGAAATTTGTGACTTCCTCATATTAATTCTAAGGGTTTGTTTTGGTTCAAACAGAACCGCTGATTCCAGTTCTCAAATACAGTGGACGAATTAATTTTTCAAGAAAACGTCGCGAGGTTATAACATCCTCTTAGCTGATCGAGTGTTATGTTGGTACAACGCGTCGATTGCAGCGTATTCAACGTTGCCAAGTTGTAATAATTTTACGGAACTACCGTCGATTGCTTTAAAAATATTTTTATTTTAAAAATCTATATCTTTTTACTAAGACGGTCAAAAAATTCAGCGTTTCTTTAGAAAATTTTATAACTTCTTGATTTACATTACATTAGTTTTTAAAAAATATGGTAAGAACCATTTTCGAGATATCTTGAAATAAATGCATTACTTGTGTACATGAGAGGCTTCAAGAGTGTTAATTATGCACATTTTGATTGTTAATATCTCGTTTCACAGACGGTCAAAAAATTTAATTTTTTTATTTACATAAAAGACAATTTCATTAACCTTATATTTCAATTTTATTTAATTCTTAAGAAAAGCCGTTTTACGAGTGAACTACCTTAAATGACTTTTATTCAAAAAAAATTGTTATGTCAGATATTTCAAATATGTTTCCGAGTAGGAAATTGCAAGATCTATCAAAATCAAGAAAAAAAATTGGGGTTACTATTTAAAAAAATTGTCAATGACGTCACTGCCCAAAAATGGGGAAGTAGGGGAAAATTGAATTCTATTTAAAAAATTGAGCTTTGAGTAAACAAAATTGACCTGTCCGAGCATTTTTTCGAAAAACCAACTACTTCCATTATAATGAATTTATTCCTTTCATTTGAACCATACTGTATATCTTCATTCTAGTTATTATTACTGTATTTATTATTTTAGGATGTTCCTATTCAAATAAACTAATTTAAACCTTCAAATTTAACAAAATGTGCTAATAATAATAAACATTTTTTATTGAGCTACTATCAGAATCAATGGTTGCTTATATATTCTCAAATGTACTATATACATTAAAACAAACTTCCAAATTTACCGGTAACTCAGACAACCATAATTATAGAACTTGTAGTGGCAATTTACTACGCATACCCCCTCATGTTTCAACCATGTTTAAAAAAAGTTCATACTACTGTGTACTAAGGATATTCAATCATCTAACTACCTCTCTAAAACAAATTAATAGTCTGAGCTCATTTAAATGCAAATTAAAAAGCTATTTATTCCAAAAATGCCCCTATAGCATTCACGAATTTCTCCTGTAGTTTTTGTAGTACAAGGTACAGCCTATGTCATATGGATGTTTTCAAGCATATCAGTCCTAATTTTAATTTTGTGTATTTATTGTTAAATTGTATATTTAAATAGATTTTATATCTGTTTTGTAAATGTATACTATTGTACATCTTTACATGTAAATGACTTCCTATATCATGTATATGCTCTAAAAGGATTAATAAAGTAGTATTATTATTATTATACTTTTCAGCCCAACTAAAAAAAAGTTATAAATAAAGGAAGAAATACTGACCTGTTATAAACGGCCTCTGTCCATCAAACTCGCAGTCATCAAGTTCCAAAAACTCCGATAAACTTGGTTTTAGTCTCTTAGGGTGACACACCAAAATATGAGTAACAGATGCTCGACGTACAGGTCCATTTCTTGAAAAAGCACACACAGATGGCTGTGATATCAAATCGTGTGGTGACCCAGTATAAGAACCGTCATACATTTCATTTATGGCTACGTCTATCCTAGCTCCGACTGATATGGGAACATATGTGAATGTAAATCTCGAATGGCAAAGTTTTAAATGTTTCAATAAAGTATATAATAAGTTGCAATTTAAGCTACACCAAGGACAATGTAGGTCCTCGCAAGCTTCAGTCTGTTGACGTGAATTATTATTGTAAACAAATTGATAAACTATTTGGAGCTTCTCAGCATTACCATTGCCATTGAGTACAAGTGGCAGATTTTCCTTATTTTCCTGTAAAGGATAAGGTTGAGGTCTGTCTACTATTTTTGCGCATGCATCTGGGGACCAATTAAGCTTAAATTTTAGCACAGATCCTTTCATGAATGTATCGAGATTTCCACAAGCATCTACAATATCTGTAACGTTTTCCCAACTGGCATGTTTCTTTAAAGTGTTTTTAGGATTTAATGTAAAATCTTGAACTACTATATCATAGTCTCCATCACTTAGATAACATCTATTATGCTTATCATAAACAGTAAGTTCTGCCCCATATAATTTCGAATTATCATTTGTGCCATTTGGTTTACGTTTTTTTGCAGCAGGTTCATCATCCAGATCTTTTTCTGGAGTAACCTTGACCCTAAATAATAATATATATGACTTAACTAAAGGTCCACTGGATGGATTGAACGATTCAGTTGGAATGCTAATTGTAGGCGCAGTTAAAGGCAAATGGTGCTCATCTGGATTAATTGGTACATCTGCAGTACCAAGAGTTACTTGCATACTGGGAGCAGAGCTGTCTTTGCGCTTTTTATGAGTAATTTTTAATAAAACCGTTTCTACTTGTGCAATTTGTGCTTGGTACTCCAAAGATTTGTTATTGAAACCGAGAAATGTTAAATTTATGTACCCTGGTTGAATGGTCAAAGAGTCCCTTTTTGATAGCACTTTATCTAATAATGAATCTATTTTGAAACCTTGCCTGTTTTTATGGCTTCTCGACATCCTGTGCTTCATATAGGTTAGAGTTCTATTCAGAAATATTGGCTGAAAAAAGTATTGAATAAGTCAAAAATATTAAATATATAAACTCAAACTCACCGAACACATATTTCTTGTCCGCAAATATCTATATATCTGAGTGGGTTCTGAAAATAACAAATAGTCGATAATACAAATCGAATCACCTTTTGTTTATGGAACTTACTTTCAAAAGCTTGTAAGAATAATTCATGATCGGCTTGTATGTGGTCAATTCTTGGCGTTTTTACTGTATCTGGATCCTTTTCCCTTTTTCTGGGTGGCATTTTATTTCAGTAATCTCTTTAATACCGCGAAAGTCAACCGTTTATTTAGATTCAACGCCTTGTAATCTTGCAAAAGGCTAGCGTTCGTTGTCCTGTCAACAGTCAAACAAAATTGACTGATATACAGCGTTGCCAGATGAATTTGGTGGAACGTTCATACAACCATTGTTTAAAGCTACTCTTTAAACAATGATACAACGGTGCAAGCATGGAGGAAGGGTGTAAGGCGCAACAGTAGATGCCTGAAAAAAAAAAACCGAAAAAAAGTAAATCGAAACTAAACAGTAGATTTTAATACAGGGGGAAATAATTATAACTCTACTCAATACTGAAAATTTGAGAACATATTATATGCATTTGCATGTTTCTAACATTTTTTTGTACATTCGTTCATCGTATGTGTACTTACGATGCAACATAGTTCAGTGTTCCATTATAATTAAAAAATAAAAATATAAATGAAGTGACTTGTCCTTTGGGGGGAGAAATTTTTTCAAAGTCCAATCCGAAGTTCATATTTGCCTAAGTCTAGGGGTTCTATATATCGACATCCTCTGGGGTGGGAGTGAAGTAGGGGTTGGGGGAAGGAAGTTGGGAAGTATGCGTGGCAGATGAAGAAGAGGGGGAAAGTTGGAGGAGTGGGGGAAGTATTTTTTTTTCGTTTTTCGAGAACCATTAAATTAAAGGGTGCTCATGTTCGCTATAGGCTAATATTATTTAAATAAAATAAATAAACTAAAAGCCAATATCACATAATTACAAGCGACCGTTTCCCTTCAGAAAACAACTACTCCTTTGGCTAATGCCGCAACAGGTATTGGATTATATCCGACAGCTGCCTTTCGTTCGGATATAATTCAATACCTGTTGCGGTATTAGCCAAAAGGAATAGTTGTTTTCTGAAAGGAAACGGTCGCTCGTAATTATGTGATACTGGCTTTTAGTTTATTTATTTTATTTTACGTCTTTATCACATTTGAGTTTGATTTATTTTCGTTTTTTTCTATTAGTCAATAATAATTCATAGTTGTGAATCAATGGATTTCATACTTGAAGGTTTGAAAAAAAAAATACTATTTTGAATTTTTTCTTATTAAAAAATAAACATTTTTGGCTTTTATACCCAAATTATAAATTAAAGAAAGAATATAAAAACAAATAAAATAAATAAAATGAGTAAAACTTTTAATGTCAGGAAACTAAAAAAAAAAACAAATGAAAAATAATATACATATATTTCTATGAGATCAGTCTGAATCAGATAATTCAAACACGTTCTTATTTTGTACCCATTAATTCTTCGTTGCATTTTAAATCAAAACATGATGATTAGGTACCTATCTTAATTTTTAAGCTATTGCATAGCTTTTATCGCGGGCTTCGATCGCGGCGACCGAATCAAGAAAAAAAAACGAAACCGTAACGAAAAAAACCTAACACCCCCCACTCCAACCGGCACAGAAAAATCGAAAAATCAAAATCGAAAAACCAAAAAACCGAAAAACCGAAAAATCGAAAAAATCGAATAATCGAAAAATCGAAAAATCGAAAAATCGAAAAATCGAAAAATCGAAAAATCGAAAAATCGAAAAATCGAAAAATCGAAAAATCGAAAAATCGAAAAATCGAAAAATCGAAAAATCGAAAAATCGAAAAATCGAAAAATCGAAAAATCGAAAAATCGAAAAATCGAAAAATCGAAAAATCGAAAAATCGAAAAATCAAAAAATCGAAAAATCGAAAAATCGAAAAATCGAAAAATCGAAAAATCGAAAAATCGAAAAATCGAAAAATCGAAAAATCGAAAAATCGAAAAATCGAAAAATCGAAAAATCGAAAAATCGAAAAATCGAAAAATCGAAAAATCGAAAAATCGAAAAATCGAAAAATCGAAAAATCGAAAAATCGAAAAATCGAAAAATCGAAAAATCGAAAAATCGAAAAATCGAAAAATCGAAAAATCGAAAAATCGAAAAATCGAAAAATCGAAAAATCGAAAAATCGAAAAATCGAAAAATCGAAAAATCGAAAAATCGAAAAATCGAAAAATCGAAAAATCGAAAAATCGAAAAATCGAAAAATCGCAAAATCGAAAAATCGACAAATCGACAAATCGAAAAATCGAAAAATCGAAAAATCGAAAAATCGAAAAATCGAAAAATCGAAAAATCGAAAAATCGAAAAATCGAAAAATCGAAAAATCGAAAAATCGAAAAATCGAAAAATCGAAAAATCGAAAAATCGAAAAATCGAAAAATCGAAAAATCGAAAAATCGAAAAATCGAAAAATCGAAAAATCGAAAAATCGAAAAATCAAAAAATCGAAAAATCGAAAAATCGAACTATTTTTGGTTTTAAAATCAATAATATACATTATTATTAAAAGTTTATATCAAAGAAGGCAGATTAACTTTGGTTAAACAATACACGACAAAAATAACCCACTTTCTTAAAATTTTAATAATAATAATAATAATAATAATAATAATAATAATAATAATAATAATAATAATAATAATAATAATAATAATAATAATAATAATAATAATAATAATAATAATAATAATAATAATAATAATAATAATAATAATAATAATAATAATAATAATAATAATAATAATAATAATAATAATAATAATAATAATAATAATAATAATAATAATAATAATAATAATAATAATAATAATAATAATAATTATAATAATAATAATAATAATAATAATAATAATAATAATAATAATAATAATAATAATAATAATAATAATAATAATAATAATAATAATAATAATAATAATAATAATAATAATAATAATAATAATAATAATAATAATAATAATAATAATAATAATAATAATAATAATAATAATAATAATAATAATAATAATAATAATAATAATAATAATAATAATAATAATAATAATTATAATAATAATAATAATAATAATAATAATAATAATAATAATAATAATAATAATAATAATAATAATAATAATAATAATAATAATAATAATAATAATAATAATAATAGTAATAATAATAATAATAAACAATATAAACACTAGAACAAGTCATTGAGAACAAATTAATATTATTTTCTATTTGTCGATAAAAGAATGAAGTTAATCATATGCAACTATCAATACAAGAGAGTAGCAATATTGGTTGTCTAGATGTCAGTATTTTTTTACCAAAACACAATTTTATGAGAATTTTATAAATATTCTAGTCAAAAGTAGAAAAAAATGTTGTATGTAACATATTGCGAAATGCCATTTTATGTAACTCCTTCATGTTGCGGGACCTTATACGCTGCTCGTCTCGCAAAATAAGGCATTTCGCAAATGGTTTTATAAATAGCTATTGATCGACGTTTTAAATTTGCTTCGATTCTTTTTAATGTTTGAAAGTTTGAAAAGAAAATGTTTGTATAGTAACCTGTATTATTAGGCTGACATTTCTAAACCTATTCTTAAATGACCAATATTTGTACTTTGTAGTTATTTTAGCGTCAATATTTTAATTTTTGTTATGTTCAAAAAAGAAAGATGGCATTATTATTTTGCAATGGAACTCCGGGGCGGCATACAATACAAATAACTTCTCCCGCGTTTTATTATTAGAGGGTATCCTATTAATTGGATTTACTGAAAATAATAATAAAATCAAATTTTTTAATTTTAGAGGCGAATCTTTCTTATAAATAACAATTCGAGTTTTTAGATACTACTACTTGTCCCCCTTTATTAGATTATGGGAACATGCAAAACTATATCTCTTTATTTTTGGAGAAGTCTTTACGTGTCATTTCATTTCTTTAATGTGGCTTTATTGATATGTAGATATATATTTTCTAAACTTAAAAAAAACTTTCTTAATATGAATAATTTAATAAACTCTGGATTATTTAAATCATTAATAAAATTAATAATCACGACTTAGAGTAAGTTTCTAGTTTATCTTGAGCTTTGTCCTCGAGTTTAGCATTATTTATTTTAGCAACTATTTAAAAAAAAAACATTTTTATTTTTAATATTTGTCCATAACAAGCTACCTATAACTAAAAACGTTGTCCTGTATAAAGATAAAAGTAAAATAAAAGAAAAACATATAAAGGGTGTGGCGTGACCTTTGATGCATCTTATGGTGACCACATTGTTGATGGATACTTCGGCCAAAGCGTAACATTCTAGTACTAACCCTCAGTAAATTCGTGGTTTGTTCAGGGTGCGTAGTGCTTGTCTGCTATCTGTATAGATGCGCATGTTCCTTCCAGTGATATTGTTTCTGGCAATTTCTTTTGCTGCTATGAGAATGACCGTGAGCTCTGTTTGAACTACACTGGCACTAGGTTTGTTCTGGTTCTCAAAATGAAAACTGTTTTGAAACTGCGCCGGACCGTATGCGTAAAGGCAAAAAATCCCCGACTGTTTGAAATTCTTGGAAAACCAGAACACGTCATGAAGGTGTTTTGTTTATTGTTTATTATAATAATGAAGTTCCTTTTGAAAGCTCAGCTTCAAATAACATTTGCATGTATATGTTTATCATTATCATCACATTTCAATGGAATAAATAAAAACAGAATATTAAAAAATTAATAATTCTAAAATTGCTTTAATTAATATATAAATAAACAATTTGGGATTGTATACGTTTCGTATGGTCTAAAAAGCCAATACAATATTCATAACACTTCAAAAACGCATGCGCGGTCAAAACAGTCCGAGTCGATCCACACTCCCAAGCATGAACACTTTTTGACTGTTTACAACAATCACGGATTATTTCGGATACGAAACCAGAACACTGGACTGAGAGATCCGAAGTAGTCCCAGAAAAACCAGAACACTTTTTATCTACTGCGCATGAGCCCGACAGTTGTGGATCGTTATTTCTCAAAACCAGAACAGACCTACTATTGCTCACAGCCCATTTTATGTTTAGGTTTAAGGATCTGGAGTATATTCCACATTCTGAGCCTAGTTTTGTTTTAGAACTGTTAGTGTAGTTATGAATCGTACATGCCACTTCCGGCACTTCTATTTGATCTGCTATAACTTTATATGGCTTATGGAAGAAATATCTCGGTGAGATGGAGACATGTTCACTTGAAGCAGCGGCAGCGTATCGAGCGCCTCCTGCCAAAATGACTTCTCT